TGGAATCCTCACCTTTAGAATGCACAAAAGTAAGGTATTTCACTTTCTGCTGAAAAAAGGGACGAAATCTTTAAGTATTAGAAGTTGCACTGTTCCCTCTGTAGTGAATTCTTTCTCGCTGCACAGGAACATTAAAAAAGAAACAATAAGTCATGTTTTCCATATAGAAACTCTTACAGAATTCAGTGATAAAGCTAAGTCAGGAAGGGGTGGAGCAGCACATCAGTGCCACTCATCCTATGCTGGGACAGGGAGAATTTAACAAAACAAGGCTGAGTTTATGGAGTTAACCCATGCAGAGCTGCCGGTGCAGCTGCTCCCCAGCAGCTGCCAGGAGAGCATAGCCACTGGCAACCCAACTCCCACAGAGGCTCCACTGCAAAGAAATAAACAGCACAAAAAAGGAGGATTTTTCTAGAGTGGCAGATGTGCCTGGCAGATGACATCTGTGCCTAAACAAGGGACTCCTTACACACAAATCTTTAGGGGCTGCTGGGCTATCTCCTTTCCACAGAACTTCTATCCCATGGTAGCTGGTTATTACAACCTTCCAGAGCACCATGACACTACCACTCTCCAACAGATCTAAAAGGCTCTTAAACACAACTTTTAGCCGTTTTTATTATGATTTCCAGAGTAGCTGATCTTTTTTGTCTTCCTTTATTAAGTATATTATCTGTTCTCATAAGCTTTAAACTGCTTAGAAATTGAGGAGAAACTAAATACAATTACTCATTTCTGATGGATACACACGTTGTTCTGAGCAACCTTCTATCAACTCTAAAAACAGAAGAAAGTTCTGCAGTTCTAACCTATTAGAGAATATCCACATCCTAAAAAACCAGCTAACCCAGATACCCTAAAATCAAGTTTTCCTCCTTCTTCCAAACAGAAAGCCCATCTGAACTCATTTCTTGATGCTTAGTGACCCGTGGCAGCAATTTGCAGGCTTATTTTTGACATGGCCTTATATGAACTTGAGAGAACAATCTAAGAACAATCAGAAAGCCAAACAATCTAAACAGAAACCAAATGTGCAGCTGACATTGTTAATAATTATATTACGATAATAATTTTACATATTTTTTTATACATTTAATAGTAACAGTGATAAATAACAAGAGGTCAAAACAGGAGGGAAAAAAGGATCTATTTAGCAGGTTGCCAAGAGGCCAGGGCAGTAAGGAGATTATCATGGCACAAGTGGGATGTGAATCACCAGGTAGCTGCTATACAGATGATTTACCACAAAGATGGTGCTTACAGAATGAGAAGATAAACAAATGAGACAGAGGTTGCCAACATCTGTGGAATAATAACAAAGGTCACCCAGCAAGTGAGAGGGGGCACACAAGAAGGAGCTCTGAAGACAACATATATTCAGAATTTCTGGAAAAGCAACCTCAAAGGGCGACCAAAGCAAAATGCAAAGAGCAGTCTGAGGAACACTAGTATCTCTGTATTCATGTAATGTGCAATGGAAATGCACCCTATCAGTTCTTGAGAATGTAAGCTTTATGTTGAATCAAAATACCAAAGAACAGCCTGAGATGTCCCACAGTGAAGTCACAAAGTAGAAGTGAAAGTGTGTCGTGCTTGGAAGCCCTGTCATACGTTGGATATAATACTGTGTGTGTGACATGAGCAAGCAGCAATGGGAGGTGCAATGTTAATCGTAAGGGAATCATCAGGGAGAGATAAAGAGCAAAACATTGGCCAGGCAGATGTGAAACTCAAGGGGTATTTTAAGAAACCAGGACACGTACATAAGAATTGATGCATGGATAAAAAGAATGTTAAAGGAAAAACATTGGTCCAGGGGAAAGCTATAGAGCTGGAAATGGGTTCACAGCACTCAAATTGTGCAGAATTAAGCAGGAGTAGGCAAGAGTTGGGTTATGTAAGTGAAAAAACATGGGTTTATTTTAATTATTAATTATTGTTATGCTGCTTCTAAAGCAAGCTATATAGCAAAGGGAAAGGGTTTAGAAAACCAAAAGCTGTGCCTAATGAAGGGTGAAATCAGCGGGACCAGATGTTTGGGTAACTGCTCTTCCACGAGTTCACTAACCACAAAGGGCAAACCCCTTGTTCCCTCTTTCAACTGACCTACTCTTGCTTTTTGATTTGTCCTTTTTAAAATATCCAACATCAGCTTATTATATTCAATACTACTTTGTAGCAATTATCCCTGCTGTTTGATCATGCCTTCTTTCACCTTACATTGCACTGAATTAACCACATTATAAATGGAACCAATATCAATTAGGAACTTCCCCCTGCCAAACTGGTCAATGGTTGCACCACAAAGACTTAAATGATAGGGTTGGAAGGGGCTTGTTTTTCAGCCCAGTCCCCAGTATCAAGCAGTATTTTCTTCTCCACTCATGTTAAAAGCATTTTATCTGAGCTGTATCATTACATTATAAACAGCAGCAACTCAGCAACTGCATGACAAAAGTATATTCTGAAACCTACTTGCCTGCACTGCTGCTGTTTTTTCCCCCCCTGCTTCTAACCTGAGATATTTAGTTTTATTTTTCTGTATATCCAGCCTACAAGTCATTTGTTAATCCCTGTGGTATGTATATAAACTAATAAGCTTAAAGAAATGCCATGTTAGACTGAGAGGCAACAGCAATGTGACACTTCACTCTCCAGCACTTGAGAATTCACTGTGTTCCCCTTGATGTACAGCTAATTGTAGGTTTGTTATTTTCCAGAAATATTGATCATCCACTATTTAAAGTTTTAAGAATCAATCCATAAGTAATATTCAGCATGACGCTTTCAAAAAAGCACCTTTCAAACCCTGGTGAGGAGCACCTTTCAAAGCCTGATGACAATCTACTAAGTCATGGTTTATATATACATACAGCACTTCTGGCCATGATTGTCAGTTTGCTCAGTCTGGATTTGAATCAAATCTGTGCTGCCCAACAAAGCTCTGTGTAGGGCCCAGCCTTCCCCTGGGCAGCACAGGGTTTCAGTCTGTAGGAACTGAGATCCTGTGGGAACTCTAGAGGATGTGACAAAGGTACAAGTGTTTGGTGTGTTTAGAGACTTACCTTGTTGGCAGCAGCTTTATTAGCTATGTACTTTACTAGATATTAGTTTATAACAATACCACAGCTTGTGAAAACACATTCAGAGGTCAGATAAACCAGGTAAGAGCCATGTCACAGATAGACGATAATAAAGCAAGTAGACAAACCATGTATTTTATAAACAAAAAATCTGCAGAGAAAAGAGACAGCACTGCAGCTGGATGAAGGATTGGTTAAGTCAAATAAAATAATCTGAGCGTAGAATGGTCATGCTTCAAACTCTTACCCAACCTGCTCTGCAACTTAGTGCTGCATTATGAATGAAAATGTCTGAAAAAGCCTGACTGCAACTATGAACTCTAATACAAGTGAGCAGAACTTCATTTTTTTCTCATTATTTAAAGTTCGTTTTATGGATCTTTTCTAAAATAATCTTTGCCATCAAGTGCTCTCAACTTTTTGTGCTGTGGCGCAAGAAGGTTTTTCTTAAGTACCTCATGGACATTGTTATCTAAATAAAACCACCTTCAGCTTTAATGGAGTGTAAGGAAATTGGCTTTTGGCCAAGTATGAGCACTCTAAAAGTGCTTCTACATGAATACCTTTCTTACTTTGCTGTTTCCCTGGTGAACTTAGGATGATTAAAGTCCTTCTAAAGTTCTGAAGCACCAGAAATGTGATGCCATGGAGTTATCCACAGCACATACACAAATCTGTCTGTGGACTATGTATCAAACATCAACAGGGGAATTTTCTGCTATTTGGAAGATGCAGTGGTTTTACAATATTCGTAATGAACCTTTAAATACAAACTGTGGTCAGAGTAACTCAAGACAAACTGGATGACCATTTCTAGACTTCATGGAATACTCTGAGTAGGAAGGGACCCACAAGGATCTAGTCCAAGTGTTAAGCAAATGGCCCATATGGAGATCAAACCCACAACATTGGTGTTATGGTGTCATGCTCTGAACAACTGAGCTGATCTCAGGTTTAGTGTTTTTCCAGTATTTATTTCATAAACACCTGCTTATTTTTTCAGTAAGGGATGTTACATTCGTGTTTATTTGCTATGGAATAAAGCTTCAGAATTTCTAAATGTAAGACAAATCATTTGGAAAAAGGCAGCTCTCTGTTTTGGTGATATCAGTTGGAAACATACTTCAAAGGTAGTAACTTTTCATTAGTCTGAGGAGTTTCCATATAAACAACGGAACAACCACAGTACAAAATTCATTACGGGATAAAATATCAATCTGCAGTTCAAAAGCTCTTTCAAGAAGTGATCCATTTTAAAGTTGTGAAAAATACAAACATTCACATCCATTAACTGCAAGTGGCATGCAAATATCCCTGAGATTAATCAACTTTTTTTTAAAAAATGAAGCAGAATGGAACTCATAACACCATCACAAAATGAGGGTTATGTCATAACATCTTTTCACAACTCCAAAACAATCTCCAAATTCAAAGTAAACACTCAGAAACTTTTCTCCCTACCTTGTTTTACAAGCTGATTTATGTTTGCCAGCACCACAAGCACCTGTGCACTTCGTAGCACAGGAATTTTTAAATACTAATTGTTCAGGATATATAGCCTATGAAAATGAAACCTCAAAGCTACATATTCTCATCCCCAGTTAAAAATAAAACCCACGCTGTCGAGTGCAGGCTGTTGGCTGCACTGGCAGGGAATGGCACGGGCTCTGCAGAACCCCAGCACCGATGACAAAACCATAACAAACCTGCACGCCCATGGATTTTAAGCAGTAAATCCGAAACCCAGGGACTACAAAGCGAGCCGGATCCAACAGCTCCGAGCACAACCTCTCACTTCTTGAAGCTGGCTGTAAACAGGGGAAGGGAGGGGCCAGGCGCCTGCCAAGCCGAGCAGAAACTTGTGAGTAACTTAGAGAGGCAGAACAAGTGCAGCGCGGGCAGCGGCTCGCAGCGCGGTGCCGGGCGCTGGCCGGGCCAGCACCATGATCCTCGGGAGAGCCACGCCGGGGCCTGGCGGCCGGCTCGGTGCCCCGGGAGGGCGGCTCGGTGCCCCGGGAGGGCGACTCGGTGCCCCGGGAGGGCGGCTCGGGCCAGCGGCACACGGGAATTGAAGGTGAGAGGCTGCGGAGCCGGGGCAGCGGCGGGCGGGGGCCGCGCGTCCAGCGCCATCCCGGGCTCAGAGGGGCAGGATCCGGGCAGCGCCGGGGCGCTGTAAACAAGAGGCTGCTGCAGCCCTCGCTTATGAAACAGCGGCGAGCAGGGGCTGCGGGTGAGCACACGGAAGGGGTGAGCGGGGATGGATGCAGTGCCCGGCACGGCAGAGCTGCCCGGGCAGCGCCACAGGCACGGCTGGCTGGGAAATGCGGAGCGGGGCCTGCGCCGCTCGCACCGCCGGCAGGTTCAGTGCCCTCGCTGCCAAGGGAGCGCTAAACACCGGGGATTGCGGCTGCAGAGGCAAAAATGCCTCACCTGGGAACTCGAAAGTCATCAGGAAGATTTTCCGAGGAAATATTTTAATTTTGGGTTTTGTTTTTGCTCATTTCAGAGGTAAATAGTGCCGTTTTCCTAAGATTACTACTCAACACAATGAATCGCCTGCCATTTCTATCATTAAAACAGAATTGTCGCGTTTAACCGCACTTAGAGGATGTAAAGAAAAAGTAAGGGTAATGACTAAAAACACTTGTGAAGCCAGACATCCCCCTGCTCTGTAAAATACAAAGCCTGGTAGCAAAGACTTTTGATCTTCTGAGACAATATACAGGCAAGTTATTCAGTGGCTGATGTAATTCAGTCTGGAGTAATCAAAGCTACATGCTTAAGGATAAACCTACATAATGGAATTACATGATTGTATCCATGCCTGTGCTTAGTCACCTTTGCACTCACCAGAATGCATAGATTTGTAATATCTACTTCCAGTCTGCTGCTTTGCTTGAATCGAGTCATAACAGTTCAATGAGACCTAGTTTTGGTTCCCTTCAACTGCAAAAAAACCAGCTTTTTTCTTTCTTAAAAACCTAAAACAACAGATGCTTCCTGAAAACAAACGGGGTTGGTTTTCAGTTATTGAAAATAGAACGAGGATGGAAAGACAAGGTAAAGATATGATACAGTTCACTCATACACAACAGCTGAAGGACTGATGTGAGAAAATGAACCAAAGAAGTCATGTTTTCCCACAAAGGTGAAAACAACCTTTGAAAAAAATAGAACTTCTGGTGCTGCCACAGAAGCCACTTCTCTGAGGAAATCCAGCATGGGACAGTGGAATAAAAATTTGCTTGCCCAGCTAAAATTACTGTATTTTTAGCCTGATTTCTGGCTCAGCTTATGTTATTTAAAAGAAGAATGCACAGAAAACAACTGCAGTGGGAAATAAAACATGAAAGTTGACATAATTTTGGGACAAAGTTTGTACTATGGCTGAAGAGTCAAAGGATTAGCACCAGGGAGATGCAGTCACGTACCCATATGCTCACAGACCCCACACGGTATAATTTAGCCATCTGGTTCATGGAGTATAGCATGTTGTCTAGTAGCATTCGTTTTCATTGCACAATGTTTATTGTGGATTGATTAAATCTTGCTCTCCCTCTGGAAAGAATCCAGGTATGTGTACTTATACTTTGCTATAGGTGCTGACAGAGAAGCACACAAAACCACGGGAGAATGGGACAGGCAGAGTACGTGACATGGGAAATCGCCTGCTGCACCAGCTCTACACTGGCCCTGAAATGGGCTGCCATGAATAACAGCCATGATTTTAAGGCTGTGTTTTGAGTTGTACTTCAGTGATTATTTCTTGTTTCTGCATTCTGGAAAGCGACTTTACACAGTTGCCTTGAAGTTCACTTGGTTTCAGTTAAAATGCTGTCTCTACTGATGATAAAGCAAAGACGGCTGGACCACAACTGCTGATAGTAGCATACTTTTTAAAGAATTTGAGCTATTCTGAGAGGAAATGATAGCTGATTCTTGCCTTTTTGGAAAGTCAGGCTGCCCTGATATTAGGTTCCCTGGACTACAGAGGTCCATTGTTTTTTTTGAAGCTAAATGGTTAAAAGGTTGGAAGTCTGAATACAAACTGACCTATTTAAAAAAAAACAACAAAACCAAACCACCTCACCTCATTTCCCAGTATCCTCTAGTCTTTTATCAGTGACTCAGTACACATCCACCATACTGTCTTGGATGTGCCTCCTAAGAAACTCTTTTTTTTTAAGGTAAAGCTTATTTAAGATATTAGGCAATCTTTATTTTCTATCATACTGTGAAGATTTCTGCTTCAGTTTATATCCTTACACTCTTCAGTACCTTTATGTATTTTTATATTTTTAGCTATATACAAGGTGCTGTTTGACAATTTTAAAAAAATTGCAGTAATATATACATCAGTACTTAATGACAGTTTACAGTTTCCTTCTGTTGAGTGTCCTGTATCGACTAATTTGCCACTAGTTTCATTTAAATCAAAACAGAACATGTATTAGTCTAATGAAATTTTTAATAACAGTTTACTTTCTTCTAGACTAAAAACATCTGTTATGTGATATGTGTGATCTTAAAATTAAAAATGTTTTCTTCACATACATTGCATTTTATTTATGATGTTATATTTTAACAAACCTTTCACTATTTCTCTCTCTACAGAAAAGCTGGTAACCAGCAAAGAAGACACAAAAGCTAAAATCACTATGTGGAGCTGTGAAGCCTTAATCAACAGTACCGAGAACAGCGAGGACCAGCATCTCTGCCATGACTTTGACCTTGTGCTTTCCATCTTTTCCCTTCTCTACCTCATTATTTGTTTCCCAATTGGCCTTTGTTACAATGGCCTGCTGGTCCTAGTTAACCTCTACAACAAAGCTACTATGACTATGCCAGATGTTTACTTTGTCAACATTGCCATCGCCGGTCTCATCATCAACACTCTGGCACCAATGTACCTGCTGGGTCTTGCCAATACAAAATGGGCCATCTGGAATTCCAACAATGAAGTTTATATTACCTTTCTTATTTTATTCAACGTCTCATCGTTAGTTACCATGTACTCTACCACACTGCTCAGTCTGGACTACTACATCGAACGTGCCCTGCCCAGGACTTACATGTCCAGTGTGTACAACACCAAGCACGTCTGCGGGTTCATTTGGGGCGGTGCCATGCTCACGAGCTTTTCATCTCTCCTGTTCTACGTCTGCAACCACGTGTCCACCAAAATAATCGAGTGTTCCAAGATGCAGAACCAGGAAGCAGCAGATGCCATCATGGTGTTTATCGGGTACGTCGTACCCGCCGTCGCTGTTCTCTACGCACTGACGCTGATCCTGCGGATACGCAAGGAGGCCACGCCACTGGATCAGGACACTGGGCGCTTGGATCCATCGGTGCACAGGCTTCTGATCGCCACAGTCTGCACACAGTTCACCCTGTGGACACCCTATTATGTTATTCTCTTGGTAAGCACATTTACTAACCTACGAGGAAGAATTCCAGATGTAAATTCCATTCAAATATTACACTTTGCAACGATTTTGTCAAAATTCCTGGCTTTCTCCAGCAGCTTTGTCATGCCTCTGCTCTACAGATACATCAACAAAAACTTTCCCAACAAATTGCGACGTTTGCTTAAAAAGATACACTGTGGGAGCCAAGGCTGTTCTCACGAGCGCACAGTTGTACAGCAGGTCATGACATAGGTGTGACACAACCCCTGGTGCTCTGTGACTGCAGCACTGGGTGCTCAGTGCTGGGACTGTGACGCTGCTGTGTTGGCACTCAGAGACATTTGAGAGTCCCAACCAAGAGGCTGGAAGGAGCTTCCATTGCAGTTGAATGCAACAGTCTTAATTTTCCAGTAGTTGTTTGCTGAAGTAGTGTGAGGCTCTGGCCTGTGTGCTGCATTACCTGTGACATCAGATACCTTCAGTGCACTGAACTGGTGACAAAGGATAAACTCTGTTTTCATGGCCCTGATCTTCCTGTCTGAAGAAATCACTAAGCAGTTTATTCAAGTCTTGACTGAAGACACAGCACCTTGTATCTTGTATAGGAAAAAGGTATTACCTTGTTTTCTGTACAAAGAAGTGATAGTGCTATCCTTGATGAAGTAAATAGCATTTTTCAATGAAGATTATATAGATGATCTTTACTAAAGATCATATTACCCAATTATACATGTCCAAATAGTAAATGTTAATTATAAATTAAATTATTTAATTTCTTTCTCCATCACTGAATTCCCTCGAAAAGAAGCCTAATTTAGTTTTTTCAGAAATTATTTTCTCACACAAACTAATCTGTTTTAACATTTATGGTAACCTGATTTTTCTTTTAGCTACAACAAATAACAAAAATGTGTTTTAATTTTCCAGTGCTTTGTTTGTATCCTAAAACATTTCAGAAATTCAGAAATATTTATTAACTAATTTTGACAGAACTTAGAGATGTTTGTTCCACATACTAAAATGAAGGACACAGTGGTTTACAAAGTTAAATCAGAATTCAACTGGTAGAGATTGTCTGGCTAAGTGTTATGGTCCACATATGTTCATGTAACAAGAGTAATTATCTTAAAAAATAAAGATGTTTATGATTAACATTTTGTATTTTCAAGGGATATGTTTGCAACAAATAAATTAAACACTCTTTAATCTAGGACATCACTGGAGGTTTGGAAACCATATAAAATTCCTCCAAAAGAATACCAGTCAGCAACAGCTCTTTGCTGACCTCTCAGAAAAGCCTTCCATTAGGATTCTTGGAATCCCTAGTAAATTCTAGTTTCACAGTAGGGATGAAGAAATCCAGTCCAGATCACCAAATTTTACTGATGATATGAAATACATGAGAAACACAGAGATGCTGCAGGAAACACATAAAAAATTACAACAACAAACTACAAAGCACTGACCCAAAATCTACCAGGTCTTGTGCTGCTGCTGCATTAATGATGGGAGGGAACAGGAGGGGGGGTACAAGTGAAGCAGACATTCTCCCACTGGTGTGGGGCCACAAGACATTTTTGTCACTTGATACATGCTACAGCATCATTTTATTGCCTAATCTGTCACAGCACAACTCAAATTCCACATGACATCATCAAAAAAAATGTGACTTTTCAAGCTTCTGGTACAAAAAAAAAAATTGAACAAGACTAGAACTGAACTTTTCCCATTGCTTAGAGCACAATCTTGTCTGATGACTGGTCCTTGTCTGTCAGCAGAGACACATACTAAAGTTCTATGTGAAAAGCAGGTGAGGAACAGACCTTTCAGATCTTTTCCCATCAAGCAATTTCTTCCCATAGTCATCTTTGCTTATCTTCTTTATACACAAGCATCTCTTAGTTATCATCATCCTGGTGGAAGACTTTCCATTAATCTTTACTTTTTCAAATAGCTTTTCACATTCTATTGAATATTTTTAACCCCTAAAGCCTACAGAGTAAATAATCTATTTCTGTGGTGTTTTCAGTTTTAGCCTGTTGATGAAAACCATGTTAAGGACTGAAGCTGTTCCTTATCACTGTGTCAAACTCACACACTCATTTACAGTCCCTCTATGCTGACACACATGATACTGGCTGCTTTCTTGGTTTTGTCCACATTGAGAGATTTACTATGAATTTCTACACGTCTTGACCACTCAAGCTCACTTCCACAAAGAAGTGCTTAAGAACAAAATCTTTCCTTACAGCTGTCAAGCAAACAGACTCCTTCTTCCCATCTGAGGAAAATTAATGCACCACATTAAATCTCTCACATAAAATCTGTTAAAGAAATTCAGTGCCATTATGCAGGAGGAGTTCCAGCAGGGAGGAACTGGCTTATCTGGTGTGAATAGAGGCTTTCAGAACTGGGACACTGCCAGAACAGTGCGGCTGAGCAGGCAACTTCAAGTGCAATTTCAACGGCCATGTTGCTTCCTTACTTCCATTTCCTCCTTCTCTTAAGATACCTTATTTTCTGTCTCTAAAAGAACTGTTGCCTTTATTTCTGTTCCTTTCTCTCTGTGTTAAATTCTCAGTTTTAGATCATGGCTCTTGTATCATTTCTCTTTATCATTTTTCACTTCTCTGCACAATTTATTTAACTTTCATTTCCCTTCCATCTCTGCTTGTCTTGCACACCTGGTACCATTCAATACTCATGTTTACTTCATCACACTGACTCCTTTATGATGATCCAAATCTTACTCAGTGATCTGACATTACAAACAAATTTATGTAGTAAAATGGAAGCTGCTATTTAAGAGATGTAGAAAGACAGATTTTTATGGAATTTATCCGTGGGGTATCCAATATAATATTTCATAATATTTTTTACTGCAATAGAGCTACGGATGTTTGTCTGTATCCTTGATAAATACTAAATGTGATGGCAAGCATAGATAGAGCAACTTGGATAATTTAATGAACAAAACTGCTATCCACTCAACCTCTTTGCAAAGTTAATTTGATGTATTAGTTGCCTCAAAGAAACTGTGCTATGGATCTGCTTGGCTGCTGTTCTAAGGAAATTCTGAACTTAATTGCAGCACCCTCACCTGGTATCTCTTAAAAAGCAGTATCCCAAAAAGAGAGTTTTGCAGTTTTTATATAAAGAACAGTAGAGGAGCAAGTGCAGTAAAATACTTAAGGAAATACAAGGCATCATAAATTAGGAAGAACTTTTATGGACAAATGTTTAATACACGAAATTATTGAGAATAGGGCCTTTCCATTTCAAATACCTGAAGGTTTCTGGTGACTGTAAATAGGAGCTTATCTATTACACATTTAAATAGATACAAATAAAATACTGTATATATGCAAGATAAAAAACAGCCTACTGATGTAAAAAGAATCTGCAAAGAGTTTATTAAATTATTTCTAAAAGTGTATCATTTAAATGTAAACCTCTGAACAGGAAGGTGTACTGTATGCTTCTGTATGTATATAATGTGTCCTAGAAAGTAAGCACTAGTTAAGTGCCATTATTAACAGTGTTATTTTCTCACAAAATTAAACTTAATATTTGAATTGATCTGTGGCTTATAGCCCTTTTGCTGAACTGCTAATTAAGTCAAATCAATGAACTAACAAAAATGTCATGCTCTGCTTCTATCTGAGTAGTTAACAGCTAGCTCAAGACAGGTCTTTGTTGACTAACTTAGTAGAGGTTCTAGTTTCAAAAGTTTACATTTCAGAATCAAATTTTGTTGGTCTCTGAAGATTTTTTTTTTCAGTTAATAAAAGAAGGTGATCAGCCACTAAAAAATTCCTGGTTCTATTACAATGAAGAGATGTGGACTCCAATATCATGTCAAAATACTACAGAAATGGACTTTCTGGAATGCTTCATAGAGGAATTATTGACTCAGAATACATTCTCAATTAAAAGTGTACAAGTGAACATAGTCAATAAAATGTGTGGGGTTTCTTTTGTTTGTTTTTGGTGGACTTTTTTCTTCATAAAAACATGTTGTAGACAAACCTGTGTGGCTTCACTGAATTAAAACATAACAAATTGCACAACTTGGATGTCAGATTTCCAGGCCTTAATTTGGCATTATTAAAATCTCATTATTCATCAGCATGAAGTTGGCTGGGAATGAAAGCTAAAAGGCACATACCTCGCCTGACTTTTTTCAGCATAAAGAATCCTGCAATTAATGAGGCAGAGTAACAGTGCACCTGGAGATCAATGCAAACATTGGCCACATCCTGACAACTTCCTTTCCTTTGTGCTGCCACAATCAGCTTCCTGCAGAAATTCTCCTGGTTCTCAGAACAGCATAATAAAATAACCCACACCTCTGGCATCCCAAAGAAAACAAAGCTTTTAAGAACCTAAGATACCTTATGACACATCCATTGCAGTAACCACTGCACATAACCAGAAGATTACTCCCCATGGATCAGTTAGTTTACACTACATATCTGAAAATATTTTCTTGGCTATACTTTCAAAATTACTCATTTGTTCCCTTTCGGTGTTCTGTGAAGTGTAGGAAGACAGCAAACTCTATTTAAAATGATTACTGGTAAATGCTTTAAAAAACTCTCAGTCCAAGGCACTCCTAAGGTTTATGTCTCAGTCAGAAATAAATGAAAATGGCAACTGTCAGAGTGGAAGTTGCAATATTAACACCATTTACTCAAAGCCTAGTATCTGACAGGATGCCCTTACAGTGTTTTAAAGGGTGTTTTCTTTAATAGGAGAGCCAGCATCTCTGAACAAGTACAGAGCAGTGATTTTCTGATCCTTCATTCCACAAAGCTTTTGGATACAACCAACAGAAAGGCTGTTTTCAGCTGGATTAGTAAAACCCCTCATATACAACACAGACTGAAGGATCTTCAGTGAGAGCAGAGTTAGTTAAAAAGCAGCAAGTTCAAAGCCCACAGGTTTTTGAAGAATGAACAACAACATAAATGCAAGTGAAAAGGGTTGATCGGGTACAACAAAGTTGAGGTGTTTACACCAGTACAAACCAGGCTGACATGGCACCTGAATCTGCCATTATCTGTCAATACAGAGACATCACAGAAGTCAGCCACACTGTGGAGCATGCACAGAAAATACTCAATTAACTACTATACAATAGGAGAACAAGCCCCAAGGCTGTGAAGAAAATATGACACTGCTACCACAAACCTCTGAAGGAAGTAACATCTTTTTTTATTTTCCTTGCTTAAAACTAAGATTCAATTAAATTGTTTTTGTGCTGTGGGTATGTGCATAGATAATGCCCCATTTATCACTACTTAATAAAAATGAAAGCAGCCCAGTGTCTAGGCTGGAGACCTCGTGAGCTTCACTGCAGGAGCACAGGACTGGAAAGACCCAAGAAAAGCAGAACCTGCCTGAGTATCATTCTCAGTTCCACTGTTCACTGAGGGCTCAGAGAGGAATTGATTCTTGCCTAAGTTTCTGCTGCTGTGAAGTGCTCATTGCACTGATGAATTCTAAACATCTGCTCCTAAATTAATTTATGTAGTCTCTTATTAAGCAAAACCTTGTGTATTTCTTGAGTATTTTGTGCAATACTTTTTCCAAGTGAAAGCAATCTAATGGTACAAACCCAGCTGTGCAGACTGCCATGGCAACAAATCTGAAGTGTGAAATGTTTCCTCTGTTGAATTCCTTAAGTTTTCCATTATATATCAAAACACTTTGACATATGCTGACTACATTCTTTTTCCATCAGGAGAGCAGAGGCTCTATTATCTCCTGTCATCCCACTTTCTTCCCACCAAGTCCTTCTCTTACCTTGAAATTCCATGTGATTTCCTTATATTCCTGGCACTTTTAATTACATCTTCAAGAATTGTCAAAAATATTCACAGTTGGCAGCAGGGAAAATTTCCATATTATTACAAATCATGGCAGTAAAAGATTTTAAAACACAGGATTCTCATCAGAGTATTTATGAATTAAGCATAAAAACATACTTTAAAAAATCCTTTCTATCAGAAGTTCTTTAAAGCAAGATTTATAACCAGAAGTGAATCCATTTTATCTGGTTTAAAGAGCACTTGCATGCTTTTTTTCCCCCTTTTCTTAAATACATTATCCCAGAGGTGCTGCCCCAGGCACTGATGGGCTCAGCCTTGGC